GCGTAGACTATAGAAAAAACATGTTATAAATGCGTTAAGAATGACAGTTAGATTGGCGATTCACATATCACCGAATTTGGTTCCCGGATATGCGCGTACAGATCGTTAATAATGAGCTAGTTATCCGTCGTGCTGGTAAATACATTCCTTGGAGATGGCTCAAAGGAACATTTTCCAAAATTGTGTCTATGACGGAACGTATCAATCGATCTCCAATCCATATTGGACCAATGACGTGGTCGTTAATGATTGCCACCAAAACATTGACACTGAAACGAGCTTGATGAGCACGTTCTTTGATTTTGTGTGGGTTTTAGAATCTACCAGTACTCATTGCGCACGTTGTAAATACCAACATGGGTAAATATCGATTCGTCGCACGTACTAAGTTTTCATCAGACGACATAAAATCTTGCCATTGTTAGATACTTGACATTGGAGTATTGGTACTTGTTTACGTTACACACGCGGAAACAAACAATACGACGGTGACGCGACGTCCCGCCGCAGCTAATCACAAGTCACTCAAATAAGTTAATGTGTGAGCGCGCGGGCGGCTTTGTTCTTGAGTCTGTGATCCTGCAAAAGGCAAGGATAAAGAGGCCTACTAAATTTATTATTTTATTGCGGCTGTTTAGGGTGCCTATGATTTGAATTTCGATAGATATTAGTAGTTTAATTTATTTAATTCAAAATTAATGTTTTTATTTTTTAGTACAGAAAGTTTATTTGAAATTAGATGTATTTCTTTATAGAAAAAACATTGTAAAATATCAGTGCCATAAGCTTTTACTCCGTTCTCCTGTTACATCCTATTTTTTCCAGACGATGAAAAAGATCATCCGGTATATAATAATTATAAATAATTTTATTATCTGTAATGGCATATCAACATTACGCTGCCGTCTTGCAGCGGTCAGCAGCGAGACGTGACGTATGCCGCCATTTGTGCCGCCGCAATCTCCGCATCGCTTGCGAACATATCACGTTAGCTTGCAGTTGCTGGGTAGGCAGCATACATTATCCTTGCCAGAAAAATATATTTGTAAATCTAAGAATTGTAGTCACGTAGCCTTACGTATATATTTCGTCGTGTAATAACTCACTTTTACATAGAATAAGGGTGACACACGAGCACTTATTCACCTGATGGTAATTGGATTTTATGGTCCATAAATATCCACATCTGTCCTCAATTAAGAATCAAAATGCAGATACGTTTTCACCCCTGCATGCAGGGTCCTCTTGGGTTCGGAAGCAGCACCCGCCACTGGTGGAGTACGCCGCACGCGTTGGACAAAGATCTTATAAGAAATGTTTTTAATAATCTAGATGACAAAAACAACCTTCAGTAATATTCGTAGATATGATTAAAGCATTTGACTTCGTTTCTCACAAACTAACGGCATTCGTAGGCCGACATTGAATTGGATAAAAAAGCAAAGTGTAGAAATTGCAAAGTTAAATGGTAATAAAGATCTTGAGCAGTATAGATCACTGTACCAAATTAATGGATATGGCGTGACACAGGGCAGTGCACTGGGTACTTATTGTATATTAATGACATCTCTTATGTAACGAATATATGTAATGTATAGTCTATTGACTTTATTTGCAGATAATGTTGCTATGCTATTGACATGTAACAAAAAATCTGATATTGGTAAATTTGTAAATGATAGTGATAATTCTTTAAAGTTAATAATTGAATGATTGTAACATAATAATATACATATAAATATAAGCAAAACCAAGTTTATACAATTTTGTAATAAAAAAATTTATAAAATAAAGCTACATATTGTATACAATTGTTAATAAATAATACAAGTAGAAGAAATTTCCTTTCTAGGTACTGGAAAACTCACTTAGAAAAAGTATGTAATAAACTTAACCACCTTGTGTACGTGTACATATTACGGAACTTTACAAATACGTCATCGCAATCAACAGCTCTTATGGCGTATTACGGACTACGGATAAGTTTATTATATACTTAGCTACGGTATAATAATATGGGGAAATTGTGTAGACATCAACAAAGTTTTCATCGTGCAAAAAAATGACTACATGTAATAAGGTCCCTCATGAATCGTGCAAACCAATATTTAGACAGTTAAAAGTTCTAAAACTTCCTTGCATATATATCCTCGAAACACCAAAATTTGTGAAAAATAAACCTGAGCTGTTTATAACTGTTGGAGACATCGAGACATATTAGTCATTGATAAAATATCGAAAACATTAACTTTTCATAATAACTTCTATATGCAATGTGCATAAAAATATTTAACGCTGTACCCTGTAACATAAAATTTCAACCAAGGAAGCGTTTCGGAAACTGGTTGCGAAAGTAGCTAGTTAATAGATCTTTGTTCTGTTAGTGAGTTGTTGGAAAAACCATGTTCTTAAACTTTTGACAAAATATTTCTAAATAATAACATTTTGACAATTACATACATAAATAGGCATTAACATTAGTGGGACATAAAATTATATATAGTAACGCTGTAATGGTCCGAATAGTATTTAATGTTTTGCTTCCAGGGTCTTACTTTAGTGGATTTTTTTTTGTTTAATTATTATGCAATGTCTCTAATTTCTCTTGTAATTTTACTTTATAATACACTTAGTAATCATTAACTTTTTTAAATTCAATAATTTTATACACTAGAAAATGGTTAACGTGTTGTACCAATTTTTTCGGAGAACTTTAAAACACCCAATGTATAATAAATAAATAAATGAATGAATAAATGAAATGAATTGAAATCATTGAACACAAACGCATTGTGAGCGTACTTTAGGGCGAAGGGGGAAGGAAATGGAGACAAGCGAATCGAGGTCAGATGCCTCGCATCTTTGTTCAGCTGAAACCATCTGTTCTCGTCAATGAACAAAACCTGGTAGACTGAGTTCAGTACATCATGCGCTCAAAAATATTTGATACAAATGAGAAGCATGTTTAGGCGAGCTTTTGAGGCAAGAGCGATTATGAAAACACGCAATACGCCTCGCGAAGATGGACCACGAGTTCCCCTCATAAGCTAAGCGAGCGGAATCGGGTTGCCAAGAGGGCTCTAAACCCAATGCTGGCGACCTGTTTGGAAGCCAGTCGGTACCTTTGCGAGATGGACTCAATTTTTTTTTGGTACCACACTAGCAGCTTGCCGAATAATTGACTTTTTTGCGCTGGAAGCAATTAAGGGCAACCCTCCGGTAACAGGGGAGGGAGGTGGAGAATGCTCATAGCATACCACGCAGCCGGCTGCGTGGTTATGTGGAGACTTTTACCCACTAAACTCCACCTTTAGGGATTGGCTTACTGATCTGACGAGGGATCTTTAAGCCGTATACGAACGCGACCCTCCTTGGCAGAAAGGAGGGCGCAAGCGGCGAAAAGCCGCTTAGACGTGTGCCTAACTAAGGCAGATTAAGGGATGTGTTAAATAGGCTCGGCCTGAGCCGCCAGGAGGCAGTTCAGGTCAGCCGAAAGCTTGTTGGGGGGTCCGAGAGAAAGTTTCTCGGTCTGCGCACACTATAGCGAGTGTGGAGAGGGGCTGCATAGGCAGCTGGCTCACGAATGAGGCGATTTGAGTGGGACTCAGGCTTTGAAAAATCTCTCAGAGAGTGATTTGAGGAACTGCTGAATTGTTGGGAGCTCTAAGTCTCGGTGGAGATCGGCATTACGGACATAATAGGATGAGTTCGTAGCCCTACGACAGAAGAGATTTTGAACTATTTGAAGTTCATTACTAGTAAAGTAGCGCCACCTCAGCCTGGAAAATAATAATTGAGGATCGTATCACGAAGGCTCTAGGGCTCTAGCCCTCATCGGCAGACTGATAAGCTTTAGTTCGGACAATAACAGACCAAGAATTATGCGCACCGTCAGGATGGCTTTTGCTGTGACAAATGTCAGTTTGTCCCAGCCTGATACAACGCAAAAACTGACGAAGTGCAGACACGATATGAATCAGAAGATCGCTGCTTGAAGAAGCGGATTCGGCGATATACCGAGAAGTTCAACCGGAATCGCTTAATCGAGGGTTGTCAGTAGAGACTGTAAAAATAATTGGAACGACAAGTACGTGAAACAGGCCCAGCATCGAATCAGACCGACACTGTCGCATTCTAGCGCAGCCTGTGGTGGCTAATGAAGTGTGGCGAGTCAGTGTGCGAGCTTCCATGAACGCGTGATTATAACGCCGGACGACGTGGCAGAGGAGGTCCGTAGGGCCCCGAACTGGAAAAGTTTGGCTGGATGGTTTCGCGGTGTGTCACGCTGTGCTCGCCCGACAGTGTCAAGAGCGTCTCAACCAGAAGTCGCATCTTCACTACTGCGTTTACTCGTTTGGTTCCTAAAAACTAATATTTTCTAAGCTGCCCACGCACTGTGACCGCCCTTGTCGATTTTGGGCAAAACTTTCAATAAATAGGTACCATTAGAGTACAGGTCTTACTGGTTTCTTATTGTTTTTGTTTTTCTGTACCATTTGTTATCATATTTCATTGATTCGAGGTATAAAATTAACCCAAAATTAAACAAGATAATTAAAAAAAAATTATCTCAAAGTTTTAAGAAAAATCGCCAGTTATTATTTAATTTTGTGATAAAGTTGAATAAATGCCCAATAAATATTGATATTTATTAATTATTATTAAATAACATGGTATTACCTACAAAGTCTCATAAAAATGTTTGTAGCTATCTCAAACATTTATCGAACTACAAACTCTTGAAGTATGCACGCCATTTTCAATAATAAAAAGAGTAGACCTTCAAAACCAGGCTATGGGCACATTTAAGTATCTTACTATCAAATATATCTTTTGCCCTCTAATTAAATAATTTTAATATAAGGAAACAATAAAGACGAGTTTAAATTTAAATCATAATTTTTTTTAAAAATAGTTATTAATTAATATTTTATAACGTTTTCGAAATGACCGCCATTGACCTTATTATGCTAATGCTTGTCATTTAATAGGCTATGGCTTTAAATGACATTTTTTGAGTTGTTCTTTGCACTTCCGTAAGGTTTTCCTCCTATTTCTGTAGCAGCGGCATCAATTCTATGTTTAAGTTGTTCTCTCGTAGCTATTGGCACACCATGAACTTTTTGTTCCATGTAGCCCCAAAAGTAATAATCAAGAAGCGTTAACCCAGTAAACCTTGAGACCGTGCTACTGGATCGCTTCTGCCAATCCAACTTGGATAGTTCCTTATTAATAAATTGACGCACTGACGCTGCATAATGAGCTTGGGCTCCATCTAGTTGGAGGAAGCGAAAGAGGCAGGTCTCCGCGCAAAAAAACATAACGTTCTCTTGCGTAAGCAGTCTTGGCAATTCAAATGGCCAAATAATTTGGTCATTAATTGTTCCAGCCCACATGTTAATGGAGAATTCGTGCTGGAAAGAAGTTTCTCTGACAGCTAAAGGATTTTCATAATTCCAAACGTGCAGATTACGGTGATTGGTTATTTCGGTTCTGGTAAATGTGGCCTCGTCAGTTCTCATCCGTCTGTGAAATTTCCCTTAAGAAATTATAGTTCAGTCTGTGCTGTCGTAAAATCCACGTACAAAAAACAAACCTTAGTGTACTTACTGTCTTCTTCTCGTAAATTTTCAGCACGTCGAAAATGGTAAGGATGAACTCCTTCCTGTTTCAGTACGCGCCACATTCTCATATTCTTTATACCCAGCTGAGTTGCAATTCGACGAGTGCTTATCATCGTGTCAGCTGTTATTAACCTTAGCACTACTTAATCAACGGCGTGTAGAGCTTCACTACGTGGTAGATACAGGTTAATTTCTTCTCACTTAAACTTAAACCCATTTCACTACATTTTCGACGGATGGTAATAAACGAGCATTACCCTAGGACGATCGTAGTAACGTTCGTGGTAGAGCAATGCTGAAGCTATAATGCGATTACATCACGAATGGGTCGACCCGACCGGGGTAGGACTACGCTCTCACAAAAAAAAACCATCGTAAAATAGCAGCTTAATGCTGCTGTGTTTCGTATGATGAGTGTAGAGAACCGGAGACCCTTTTTTACTGTAAATAAATTTTTCCATCTCAGTCCTCAAGGCTGGCAACGCATCTGCATTTTGATTTTTAATTGAAGATGAAGTTAATGATTAATTCTTAAATGTAGATGTTTATGAGCCACAACATCCACTTACTATCAGGTGGACTGTGAGCTCGTTTCTCACAAAAAACGTAAAATTAACAATTATGTGAGAGCGTGGTCTGACCTCGGTCGAGCCTTCTAATTCATGCTACATTCATAATCTCTAGCATGGCTCTACCACGTAAAATTAACAATTATGTGAGAGCTTGGTCTGACCTCGGTCGAGCCGTCTCATTCGTGCTATATTCATAATCTGTAGCAGAGCTCTACCACGTAAAATTAACAATTTTGTGAGAGCGTGGTCTGACCTTGGTCTAGCCGCCTTATTCGTGCTACATTCATAATCCCTAGCATGGCTCTACCACGTAAAATTAACAATTACGTGAGAGCGTGGTCTGACCTCAGTCGAGCCGCCTCATTCGTGCTATATTCATAATCTGTAACAGGGCTCTACCACGTAAAATTAACAAATATGTGAGAGCGTGGTCTGACCTCGGTCAAGCCGTCTCATTCGTGCTATAATCATAAACTGTAGCATAGCTCTACCACGTAAAATTAACAATTATGTAATAGCATGGTCTGACCTCGGTCGAGCCGCCTCATTCTTGCTATATTCATAATCTGTAGCATGGCTCTACCACGTAAAATTTGCAATTATGTGAGAGCATGGTCTGACCTCGGTCGAGCCGCCTCATTCGTGCTATATTCATAATCTGTAGCATGGCTCTACCATGTAAAATTAACAATTATGTGAGAGCGTCATCTGACCTCGGTCGAGCTGCCACATTCGTGCTACATTCATAATCTGTAGCATGGCTCTACCACGTAAAATTAACAATTAAGTGAGAGCGAGGTCTGACCTCGGTAGAGCCGCCACATTCGTGATATATTCATAATCTGTAGCATGTCTCTACCACGTAAAATTAACAATTATATGAGAACGTGGTCTGACCTCGGTAAAGCCGCCTCATTCGTGCTACAATCATAATTTGTAGCATGGCTCTACCACGTAAAATTAAGAATTATGTGACAGTGTGGTCTGACCTCGATCAAGCCGCCTTTTTCGTGCTATATTCATAATCTATAGCATGGCTCTACCACGTAAAATTAACAATTTTGTGAGAGCGTGGTCTGACTTAGGTCGAGCCGCCTCATTCGTGCTACATTCATAATCTGTAGCATGGCTCTACCACGTAAAATTAACAATTATGTGAGAGCGTGGTCTGACCTCGGTCGAGCCGCCTCATTCGTACTACATTCATAATCTATAGCATGGCTCTACCACGTAAAATTAAAAATTATGTGAGAGCTTGGTCTGACTTCGTCGAGCCGCCTCATTTGTGCTACATTCATAATCTGTAGCATGGCTCTACCACGTAAAATTAACAAATATGTGAGAGTGTGGTCTGACCTCGGTCGATCTGCCTCATTCTTGCTATATTCATAATCTGTAGCATGGCTCTACCACGTAAAATAACAATTATGTGAGAACGTGGTCTGACCTCGGTCGAGCCGCCTCATTCGTGCTATATTCATAATCTGTAGCATGGCTCTACCACGTAAAATTTACAATTTTGTGAGAGCGTGGTCTGACTTCGGTCGAGCCGCCTCATTCGTGCTACATTCACAATCTGTAGCGTGGCTCTACCACGTAAAATTTACAATTATGTGAGAGCGTGGTCTGAACTCGGTCGGGCCGTCTCATTCGTGCTAAATTCACAATCTGTAGCGTGGCTCTACCACGTAATATTAACAATTACGTGAGAGCGTGGTCTGACCTCAGTCGAGCCTTCTAATTCATGCTACATTCATAATCTCTAGCATGGCTCTACCACGTAAAATTAACAATTGTGTGAGAGCGTGGTCTGACCTTGGTCAAGCCGCCTTATTCGTGTTACATTCATAATCCATAGCATGGCTCTACCACGTAAAATTAACAATTATGTGAGAGCGTGGTCTCACCTCGGTAAAGCCGCCTTATTCGTGTTACATTTATAATCCATAGCATGGCTCTACCACGTAAAATTAACAATTTTGTGAGAGCGTGGTCTGACCTCGGTAAAGCCGCCTCATTCGTGCTACATTCATAATTTGTAGGATGGCTCTACCACGTAAAATTAACAATTATGTGAGAGTGTGATCTGACCTCGATCAAGCCGCCTTTTTCGTGCTATAGCACGTAAAATTAACAATTTTGTGAGAGCGTGGTCTGACCTAGGTCGAGCCGCCTCATTCGTGCTATATTCATAATCTGTAGCATGGCTTTACCACGTAAAATTAACAAATACTGAGAGCGTGGTCTGACCTCGGTAGAGCCGCCTCATTCGTGCTACATTCATAATTTGTAGCATGGCTCTACCACGTAAAATTAAAAATTATGTGAGAGCTTGGTCTGACCTCGATCGAGCCGCCTTATTCGTGCTACATTCATAATCTGTAGCATGGCTCTACCACGTAAAATAACAATTATGTGAGAGCGTGGTCTGACCTCGGTCGAGCCGCCTCATTCGTGCTACATTCATAATCTGTAGCATGGCTCTACCACGTAAAATTAACAATTATGTGAGAGCGTGGTCTGACCTCGGTCGAGCCGCCTCATTCGTGCTATATTCATAATTTGTAGCATGGCTCTACCACGTAAAATTAACAATTATGTGAGAGCGTGGTCTGACCTGGTCGAGCCGCCTCATTCGTGCTACATTCATAATCTATAGCATGGCTCTACCACGTAAAATTAACAATTTTGTTAGAAGGCGTGGTCTGACCTCGGTCGAGCCGCCTTATTCACGTTACATTTATAATTTGTAGCATGGCTCTACCACGTAAAATTAACAATTATGTAAGAGCTTGGTCTGACCTCGGTCGAGCCGCCTTATTCGTGCTATATTCATAAACTGTAGCGTGGTTCTACCACGTAAAATTTGCAATTATGTGAGAGCGTAGTCTGACTTCGGTCGAGCCGCCTCATTCGTTCTATATTCATAATCTGTAGGATGGCTTTTCCACGTAAAATTTACAATTATGTGAGAGCGTGTTCTGACCTCGGTCGAGCCGTCTCATTCGTGCTATATTCATAATTTGTAGCATGGCTCTACCACGTAAAATTAACAATTATGTGAGAGCATGGCCTGACCTCGGTCAAGCCACCTTATTCGTGCTATATTCATAATCTGTAGCATAGCTCTACCACGTAAAATTAACAATTTTGTGAGAGCGTGGTCTGACCTCGGCGGAGCTGCCTCATACTTGCTACATTCATAATCTGTAGCATGGCTCTACCACGTAAAAAACAATTATGTGAGAACGTGGTCTGACCTCGGTCGAGCCGTCTCATTCGTGCTACATTCATAATCTGTAGCTTGGCTCTACCGGGTAAAATTAACAATTATGTGATAGCGTTGTTTGACCTTGGTCGAGCCGTCTCATTCGTGCTATATTCATAATCTGTAGAATGGCTCTACCACGTAAAATTAACAATTATGTTAGAGCGTGTTCTGACCTCGGTCGATCCGCCTAATTCGTGCTACATTCATAATCTGTAGCATGGCTCTACCACGTTAAATTAACAATTATGTGAGAGCCTCTTCCCCTCTTCCCCTCTTTCCCTCGGACCTCTGTAAAGTGTAGCTGTGTCTAATCTACATTTGTTTATAATAATTTTAATTGATAAAATATAATTTAGTAAAATTAAATCCGTGACAAATAATAGGTTACAAATAAAGTGTGAGTAGTGCAAGGATTGCTGATAGCGCCTTACGTACAACATCTGCGGTGCGGTGCGTCATCGCGTTTCATCGCTGCGTACGCGCAACATCTCTGTGTGTGCGCTACTTAACACATCGAGTCAACGAAACTCTTGCGCCTCTTGTCGCCCTGGTACATCAAACGCACGCAACAACGATCTTACAGTGCAAGACATCGGCTCTGCGATTTTGGTATTACTCTTTAACATTTATAAGATCCTAGTAATATTATCTACTAGAATAGAAGCGTCCTTAACTTGGACTGGAGGCGATCTTAATTTGTAGTTTTTTTTGCTAGGATATAAGCGGCCGAAACAATTTGAATTTTTACTACTATGCAGTGTGTTTCGTGCTTAAAACCTGTGACACTTCACAACACTTCAGCTGACTTTCGAGAACATAGAGACTCCCTGAAAAAATCTTTTATGTGTGGTAGCTGTACACAAATAACAAGAAGATACCGAAACGATAATACTCCAATATCAAAAGCACAACCTTCGAAAAAGAGTCCGGGAACTCAATTAGAAATAGAAAAGAGTCCAAACCATACTCCAAAACAACTGACATACGAGGAAGTCAGTAACTTGTTCTTGTGTTGTTGAAATTCCAAAAATGTTAACCTATTTAATTGAGTCCCAGAAAAAGGAACTTGAGGATATTAAAGTTAACCTTAAAGAAATTCAGCAAAGGAACTCCAACATTGAAAATAATATTGCCCTCTTAACAACACAAAACGAGGAATTACGTAGAAGGCTTAATGAGTTAGAGATAAAAAAGTAAACAAGAACGAGAAACCATCACAATTTTGGAAGAAAAACTAGAGGATCAACTAAGAATAAATCGGAAAGCTGGC